GAGGAAGGTAAGGCTTTCTCTTTACATTCCTATTACAATTTGTACATTATAAAATTTATCTGAAAATATAATATGATATATATTATTTATTTAGTTACACCCAAAAATAAAGCCAAGTGAATTACTAAGCTGCTGAACATATGATTTCTTTTGACTGATAGATAGAAATGGAATCTTTAAAACGGCAACAGAGATTGCTCACAACTTCTGTCGGTAGTTCTTATATCTGCTATGCCTCTTTGACAATTCATTAATCTTCTGTAGTATTTTTGAAGCTTGAAATAATTTCGCCCAACTTAAGATATATTTTTTGGCTAGGCACATAAAGAGGTAAGGTAAGGTAAGGTAAGGTAAGGTAAGGGTAATTCCATAGCAAAACGTGGCAGGGTACAACTAGAACATTGTAAGAAAAATGCTTTTGCTGAAATACACATTCCAACCGAATTGGTGCAACATGCGTTTCTTTGGCTCTTCTTTAACTATCGAATAGTTGTAATATATTTATCTTTCGGTGCTCCACAAAATAATTATTTGCACTTGAGTCCATTTAAATAATGTAAAGCACAAAAGCCAGACGAGCCGGCAAGACAGAAGCATAAATCAAATATTCAATTTCCATGCGGAAGGCCTTGCCCAATGCTGCTTTAAAGCAGACCCAACAAACAAAGGTTCACAAGTCATTTATTGATTTTATTATTTCAGCACAACTTTGTCAACTATTCTCGCAAACAAAACAACAGCCAAACGCCCCGGCATGCCCTGAAAGACATTCGTACAACATGTGTGGGAATTAGTTTTCACTTTTAATTTGATTTTGAAAATAGTTTTCAGTTGTTGCTGAGGGTTGGGAAACCCCTCAGAGGCTGTGAATGCGATATGACTTGTGGTTTTATTGGAATTTTCTTAAAAGTATCCTTAAAGGGAACAGCCTTAACTTCAAGTTTTGTTCGTCTATACGAATGGCACCCTCTCATCAGGCTTCTCAACTAATTGTCGCTCATATATCACACGCTTCACACCAATGAATATTTACCAATGAATATGTATATTGTGGATATAACAGAGAAACAATTACGCACAATAAAAATATAATTAGAATAATTACTGAATTTCGCTCATTAAACTTGAACTTTTTACGACGAACACGCAAGCGGGAAGCCATGCAGGCATAAATAATAAAAAAATATATACTAAAGGAAAAGTTCACACGAATGTTCATAAATTAATCAAAAATATTGTTTACCAACTGTCCCGCTGAAGGGGGAGGGGTGTGAGGGCGAGGTCAGGCGTTAGCTGAACTCTCCGCCCACACGCGACAATTGACCCTTTTGTTAATTAAATTTCAAACAATGAAAGGACATTACGTGCATGTCCTTCGACATGATATGCAAACAGGAGAGTGATACTTGTGTTTGCCCAGCTAATAGGGAAACTAACGCTCGCCCATGCAGATATATCGCCACAGATAGTGTCAAGGTAAATTTGAGCTGTGTCCATAACAGAAACAGAAACCGAACTACCAGAGCTACATAAATTGCCCATAAATTTTGTGCACTATTTTCGGTAAAAGGGTTGACGTTGACAGGCTATATGCCATGCCATGCCAGGCCAGCCCAGGGCAGGCTGGGCCAGGCCGTATGTCCTGCATATGATGTTTATCCAGTGGCTTCTATTAGCCCACATAAATTATTAACGCGCATTCTCGATGCGTTGTGCATGTAGTTTATTAGCACTTGAGACTGACTAGCTTCATTTTTTGAGAGTAGCTGGCATTGCGTGTCTTCCATCCTTGTGCTGGTGTCCTTTTGGTGTCCTTTGCATGTTCGGGCCATTAGGAAAATTCGCTTCTCTCTCTCACTCTTTCTCTGTCTCTTTCTCTCTCTTTCCGTCTGTGTTTATGTTTGTCTTTTTGTATTAATTTACATACGACACGCATTCTCGCACTTTTAAATGCTACTGTTAGGTGGTTTGAACTTTATGATGGATGCGTGTAGATCCCCCACTTTCAAGTAGCGGGCCAGCAGTCTAGACCTTAACTGACTAATGTATTCTATTGCTCTGCGACCCTATATTTAACTAGCAAGTGATGAAAACTAAATGAAAATATATATTWTAATATAGCTCTTCAATTCGAATCGAAGACGAATGTCATAAAAAAACTAAATTAAAATAGATAAAGATAAAGATAAAGTATTTAATGCCCCAACTTCCCCCTCGAACCCATAAAAGTCGCATTGAGTTGGGAAATAATACTGCAAGATAATTTCTTGAGGCCAGAATATTATCAACGCATTTGTGTGTGGTTGCTTTAATGTGGTTGGCAGATGCTGGAGCCACAGCAGCAGCGAAGCGAAATCAAATCAACGGCCAAAGCAACGGAAAAAATAAAAAACACGAATGCTGGCGGCCCACATTAAGGAGGAAGGACATTGACCAACTGACAGCGAAGGGAGCTGAAGCTCTGGACATTAGTGGAGGCGCTCAGTCAATAATTCAGCTTATCACCGGCGGATATTGGAATGGCAAACCCAAAGGACAACATATCCGGCGCCGCAAGCGCGCATCAATAAAAACACATTTGAATGACTACTGCGCTCCCGAATGCCCTCCGCCTGCTGCACTCGATTGGGAAGGTGTTCATGTTTATCAAAGGCAAATGGCTGGGCTAGCGTGCGGGTGGATTGGGATGGGGCCAGGGGGTTGGTGTCCACTTTGGCAGCATCTCAAGCAACACTTTTCAAGTGAAAACCTCGCGCACTTCAAGTCGAAAACTTTTGCTCCCCACCGCCTCCTGCAACAGTGAGATGTTCCCTTTGAACTTTGAATTTGACTTTGGGTGAATCGCATCTTGCAGTTTGTCAACCCTCGAACGCTTTTCGACTTTATTCAAATTGTAAAACCAGTCAAAAAAAAGAAAATAATAAAAAATGAAAAGGAAAACAAACCCACCCAAACTACCCACTGTTGTCCTTCTCAGCTCTACTTCTATTTGCTCTCGTTCAGTTCGATCTGTATTTGAGTTATTTTTTCGGTTGTGCTGCCAACAAGAAGCATCCTTTAAAGTGTCGCGCTGCTTGTAAATATTTTGACAGAGCAAACTTTCCTTGCTGACATGGACTGGAATATATTGAATTTAAACATTTTATGCTTTCGGTTCTTAAAGTAGGGTTCTCTATGGCATTAACTTATTTATTATATAATTTATGATTAAACTGCTCAAAATTGAAAATAGGAAATCAGGGAAATATTAAATAAGGCATGTCTTTTTTTAATCTACTTTATAGAGCTCTGACTCTGTCTGATGTTAGATACAAATGCTATATGGGTAGTCAATTCAGACACCATTATGAGCTGTCGATGTATACGATGCAGTATTCAAAGCGATAGTTAGCTGTTATATAGATTACCATAATCAAAGCTATGAGAGCGAAAAGAGCAAATGTTTAAATTTATTAGGTAACTCTGCCCTTTACTTTTCAACAGCTACTTTATATATGTATGTATATAAGACACCTTATTTACATTTCATTTATTATCTTTGGTAACAAAACCATATTGGAAAAACATTCTTTCTTTAATAGAGATCAAATCCCCTTTTCCCGTTCTGTATATGTATCTTATATCTTCCGTACCAGACGAATTCCTTAACACCTTCTGGCTCTCAGAGTATCTCGTGAGTCAGCTTTTACATATTTAGTGCTCTAGACTTGGGCTTTACGGCATTATTTGGCTATTGTCATACAAGTCTTTAAATATGGCGCACTTGGCGGTAAATTGGATAGACCAAGAACGAAATGCATATTAAAAAAATTGTTAAAATTGCTCATTTTATGATTTTTTTGTGCTGTACAAATTGCTGGCAATAATAAGCAAACCCTGTTGTCAGCTTCTTGTGTCTGTGTCTCTGCCTGTGCCTGTGCCTGTGCATCGGCGCGAATCAGTCAAAGGCCGTTAATTTTTAAAATGAGCATATAAATTTCTGAACAATCAAATAAAGCGCAACCGCTATATATTTACCCCTCTCTCTCTCTCTCTCTCTCTCTCTTGCACATAAAATATGGACGGCAAATGGCGTAAAGCATTCACAATTGCCCATTTGTGAAAAAAGTAATAAAATATTTAGCAAAGTGTTGAAGATGGCGTCTAAATTTTTTTTTTTTTTTTTTTTTTTTTGTGAGAAGGCAATCGGAACTGCCCCCGCAGTCCACCCTTGCTACCCTCTAACTAGCATCAACAATAAGTTGGGCGAAGAAAAAACTCATATGCATATTTCCCCAAACAATTTGCAACATAGCTCTGCGACAGGGGTTGTCCGCATCTGGAGTTCCGTAATGTGTTAAGATTCGTAGATGCGTCGTGTGCGCCATTTTCATTCACGTTCCATAAATTTCATGTCAAGTATTTATAAATCAAATATAACATCTGCGTCGCCCTACACTACTTTTGCTTTATGTTTGCTTTGGCTCGCGACTCCAGCTTGTTTACAAGTATTTCCCATTAATAATTCGCAATTTCTCTTGTCTCTGGCATAACATGCCAAAGGTATTGAAAATGAAGAATTATTACATATTTTACGGCAATAATTCAAGCCTGCTTTCGAGATGAAAATATGAGCTATTGCAAATAAAACATACTTTGGCAAAGAGATTCTATAGAGAATAAATATTTGGCTTAAATTTTAATAAAAATAGAGATACGATTTATATATAAGCTATGCACATAAACTAATATTTCGTCATACTCTGGATGCACCTTAAAAATCGTTAGTGCTGCCCCTATGTAAAGGTGCACTCCTTATGATCTCTTTATGCACTCTTTATGATCTACAATAAAAGCCCTACGAGTTGTCATAAAAGTTGAAGTTAGTAGAAATTATTTTCACCTTCAAGTGAACTTTTGGCTTTGCATTTGCATTTGCATAAATGGTGCTTTAATATTAGTGCTAGTATTTGCTGCTATATATAGTGAAGTTGTCTCTGCGGCGCTTCAGTTGCCCGGTCTGAGCCAGAGATCTTGCGTCATGTTACGTTTTCTTGTAAGTTCTATTTCTCTCGCACCTCTCAATTTGCCTTAGTAATAGAGTGTTTAACAGATACTCTTTTCATCGCTGGTCGTTCTCAGCGGCAGCTCGGCTACAGCTTTGAATAGCCTATTGAATGATGTGCAGCAATCACTTAATTTGCTCCACTTGAGCCTCGAGACGCCCTTGAAGTTATTCAATGCAGCCCTGGACACTGTCAACGAAAAATCCAAATTTGCACCCGTTAAGCGAGTCACCACTGAAGTGAGCGACTCCAGCGAAGTGATTACTATTGTAAAAGCTCCACAGTCAGCTTTGCCCCTTTCACATACCGAGAGGCCAAGCTACAATCCCGTACGTATGTGGGATGCAAATGACATTCCATTCAAAGGTGGCCCTAAAAAGGCGCTAGCAAAGCTATTGCCTGACGACCTAGCCAGAGGAGCAGCTCGCTATCCACCCAGCAGAAACCTGAATCCCGGGAAGGCAACGCAACAAGCTCCTAGCTCACCTGGAGACCCACCCAAAGGAGATGTGCTTCCCACTGCGGCTGATTTGTTTTCAACTCTAACTGGTTGGCTTAATGGTTAGCGCCTTGATGATTAATTGATGGACTGCCTGCCTTATGGAGTGCTCTTATTTGAATAACTTTCGTGTTCATACATTAATTTAGTTATTATTTGAATATATTTCTATAAAACATATATTAAACATTGTTCAAATTAAATCTTTTATAATTAAATATTTGTAAAATTACTGCAGAAACTGAATAGAAAATAGTTTGAAAAGTTGGAATATTATTGGACGCCGAAAAGCGAAATCTAAAAATCGTTTTCTTAGAGAGCTTAGACTAATATCACGTTAATTATACGTAGACACGAAGACCAAAGAAGCTCAAATTGACTGCGTAGTTTCCAGAGATGCATACACCTAGAATGTATGTTACCTATAATTTGACTGGGGTGAGACCCTACACAATTGCGTTTAGAAAACTTTGCTTTTCTAATAACAAAAGAGGATGAATGTTAATCAACTACTGATTTCCCATAATATAGTCCGTAATTTATTAAACAAGGAAACTGATAAAAATTGAAGTTCTGTGCTGAGTTCATCTAGTCGAGACAATCCCCGACTAGAGCACATTTACTTATAGGTATAAAATATTTTATAGTCTCAAAATTAGATATGGTGTTAATTATGTCTGGTATCTTGTTTACTAGAACACAATTTGTTTCATACTTAAATGGAAAATAAACTTCAGACTTATCTAAAACTCTTTAGTTCCTTGTCGCTTTAAATTTACATAGAATGACAGGTTATTAAGCTCTGCGCTTTTGAAATTTCTTCAAAGCGCATTATGAGAATTTTTGTAACCGACCCTAAATCTGTAACCCCATGGCGAACTCTATTCGAATTATATAGGTATTTGCAAATAATATTTGCATAATATCCAATCTAAATTCTAATTGTCAAACGATCGTAAAATCTGTTGCTTATATAGAGCTGTTTCCCCCAGCTCAAGCGCAGTGACTTAACAAGCAGCAATGACACGACTATTGGTAAGTCATCGTCCTGGGAATCTAACATGTTCATATTTGCTAATATCCTATATAATTGGTTTTCAACAGATACTTATTCTATCGCTGAGTCTACTCGTCGTCAGCGCCTATGGTAACCTTTTCTTTTGGCGACATCTACTCGGTCTCGGTTCACAGAAGCTGCTTCCATTTACTACATCCAGTACAAATTCCTATCCCAATCCGTGCAATGATGGCGGCAGCTCCTAGCCCGGGGCTGGCTTCAGATGTGCCTACAGTAAGCATTTGGCACTAGAGTCCATTGCATCGCTTGGATAGCTGTGGTTATAGTCTGTATATATGCCCAGTTTGGGTCTTATTATGGTTATCAATAAATATGTGAATTGGAAATATTATTTTAAAAGTTTACAATTAAAGAAGCATTTATTTGAAAAATTTTTAAAATTTTTTTTGAAGTAGCATAAAATGTTGATGATCTAATATAAAAAGCATTTTCTATTTCAGGCCAATTCTGTCTAAAATTATTTCGAATTTATGTAAATTTCGAAACTCGAATTTTAATATTTGGTAGTATTATAGCCATAGCGCAGATTATGGTGACAGTTGCGCCAAATGGATAATGGGCTGGGGCTATATACTATTTGCAGTGTTAAGCAGCAAAATTGGTCCCCATTGACCCCGTCCAGTTCCTGCTTGAGCCGCATTGATAGAACCCATCATATTCATTATGGACCAACAACAATGAGACTTAACTGGGGAGTTGGGCCACGCTTGGCATATCTAATGATGGTTTTTTGGAAACCCTTTACACAGCCCCAGCTGCCGCTCTGCGCTGCTGCTTTGCTGCTCGTTCAGCTGCTGATAAGATGGGACAAAATGTAAAAATTGACACATAAAATGTAAGTTGGTTGCCGGTCGCCATTTTATTTTGCCGCAAACCGCGCCAACACGCGCTAGTCGCCCGCACATCCCTGCCCACCTCCCTCTTCTGCCTACAACTCGCTCTTCTCACACTTTGTCTCGCTTTGTTCACCCACTTCGTTAGCTATGTAAATGACTTTGTTTGTTTTCCATTGTTGTCCTCTTTACCGAGAAGAGTATTGCCGGTCTAAGACATAATTCTGCCGACAAGCTGGCAACGCTGTTATCGCACACACACACACACGCATACGGCTCACGCATGTTGAGAGTAGGCACAGATTTTTAACCCTTTTTGGTGGAAACGCCACCCCAAAAGTGGAAAGACCTCGCTGTTCCTTATTTACTTTCTGTATACGCAATGAGGGGAAATTTTCACGCACATCACGCATGAAAGTCGCGTACATAAGCTTCTCATTCCCCCTCTCAGCTTATATATTCGATATATATACACACCGGTTGTGCGTGAGCGTGTGTGTCTGTGTGCGTTGTATTTCGCTTTTCGGCGCAATGCCTTTCAGTTGGTTGTCTCGTAAGATTTCGCGTCACAGATATCTCTTATGAAAAATTGTTTGAGTTTTTTTTACAACAAACAAATTGCGCGTCATCTGCCTCATCCATATGCAGGACCCGCCGAAATTCCTGCCCTGGTTCGATAAGTTTAATTAATGCCCCAGTTATTTGTTATGCCCAGCATTTAGGGTCTATGTAAATAATATTCGCTAATGATATCAATAAATTTGTTTGGAAATATTTTACAAATAGCCCAAAATAGAAATGGGTTGTACGGGGACAGCACGTAAAAGGATTCTTAATTAAGTTGCCGTTGTATTAACTCCTAAATAAATGAGCTGCGCGAAGAACTTGTGGAACCTAAGAGGCTGCAAAACGGTCGCTAAGTATAATGGAGCGTTACAGACATAACTGAGGAATTACAGCTTACATGTATGTATATATCATAAGAGTCTAAGATTTTTCCATACTCCCCTATGTGTACTCTAGTTTTGTTATGTATATATTTTTATTTCGTTTTCTCTTTTTATCTCTCTTTCCCTCTGTAATTAACGATTTTTCGGCATTATTCTTTTGTATATCTACGTCTGGAATTCGGCCTGCCCAGTCCCATTAATTCTCTAAGCGAAATGTAGAAATTTAAAAGAAATTATACCCCAAGGACAATGTCTCTTGTCTATGTTCCGCACTTGCTGCTTCTGCTCCTGCTAGTGGTCCTGTTCCCGCCTCTGCTCCTGCTGCTGCTCGTCGAAATTTTCTTGTATTTTTCTATATTCCGTTTTGATTAACATTCGTCGCCGGCGTCTCCAGCGACGACCATGTTTTTAATTACTTTTGGGGGTAGTTTGGAAATTTCCTTTCGCTTACCAGACATCGTTCAAAAGAAAGAGAAAGCTCAACTAACCGAACTTTAAGCTAAGATATTCACTTGAAACAACAATAAATATAAATATAACAAGTAAGAAAGCTCTAGTCGAGACTGCTCGACTACGAGATCCCCTGAACCCTTGGAGCAATAGATATTTCAATAATTTTTCGCGTCTTTCAGCTTACACAAGAAACACGCACACACACACACACAGACGGACAGGGCCAAATCAACTCAGCTCGTCACCCTGATCAAGAATATATATACTTTGTGGGGTCTGCCACGCCTCCTTCTCCCTGTTACATACATTTCAACAAAACCATTATACCCTGATTTCCCATTGAAAATGGGTTCAGGGTATAAAAATAGATATAGATTTTATGAGAATATGTTGGCTCTATAATTCTATTGACCACAGCGTTTCTGCGCCCTAAGGCCTGCTTGGGTGTTATTCAATTACACGTTTTCCATTTATTTGTGTTGTGCAATCGAGGGAGATAGAATAACACAGTCCTGATGATGTGTGTCTGGTCTATGTCCCAGGGCTCGCTTTGGCACGGATCTAAGCACTTGACCATGACACTTCAATATCATTTTTTTCCATGCCTTCTACTCAGTGAATCTGTCTAGGAGGGTATGTTGGACCCTAAAATGTGCTTATTACATAAGAGGATGACTTTATATAAAAAGTTTCTGGTCTGAATGGAGAGTGTATCAAAACATTTATACATCTAAGTTTTATGCTTAACCCAAAAATATTGTTATATTTTCTTATATACATTTTCAATAACTCTGCTGATTTTTCCAAAATGTATATCCTACTTTCAATGAACTTATGTCTAGACTACACATCTCAGCCTATCTATTTAAATACAAACATATCTATTTATGAATATTTGTTTACATTGTATTTACTGTTACCGGTTAGCAGTTAGAGAGCATTTCCTGGTTCGTCACACGCGATTTCTCGCATATTTTTGTTGACTGACCACACGAAACCGGAAATAACATAATTGACCTCAGGGAACAAGCAAACAAACAAAAAAAAAAAAAAAGGTATCATTGCAAATCGCATCAAGTGACCAAAGCAAAGCGGACCTTAAGTGATTTGTATCTTTGCATCTGTTGCGCTGGGCAACACGGACAATGAGGGTCGAGCCGAGTTGGCTCAGCGCTAGCCGCTGGTCAATGGCCACCCCTACCCTCAGCTCAGGTCGGCTCAGTTGAGTTTCCCCCTGTTTGTCTGTTTGCCTGTTTGTGTGTGTTGGCTGGTCAGTTGGGTCAGTTGGTCGACGCGTGTCGCGTGTGTGTAAACAAATCAATTACTGCCGCTAAATGCATTTCATTTGTGCGCACTCGAAACTTGAATTTGAATTTGAATTTTAAATTAGCTGCCCGTCGGGGTTTTATGGTCAGCTTTGTTCACACCTCTCGCCTGACTGCCATCCGGTCTATCAGCTAGGTGGTCTTCCACTGTCTGTCTGCCCGAAGGGGTCAATGTGTTTAACGGCTACTCAAGTGGCCTTTAAATAGCTTAATGGTCAATGACCAATGCGGGGCTTAACAATATAATTGACGACTTTGTGTGACATGCGGTAAATCAAAGGGGAATTATGAGTAGAGATGCGATCATAATTGTCTATGAAGTACAGGAAGTTAATATGAATGGGAGAAGACTATACAAAGTAAGATAATAGTGGGGAAGAGGACTTATCATTGTAGATTAGAAACAAATATACATCTACAACTATAAATTACCCTCCCCTATGGAAGATTCCTTAATAATGTGTATCTTCATGTCAAATCCTAAACTGTGTTCTAGCCTAAGCTAATTATGAAGCTAGTTAACATTCTGTTAATATACCCATCATTCGACAAGCTTTTTATTTTCATCTTTCATGTCTTTGCATTAGCCGCATTCAAAGGCTCTTCTCCTCACATTGCACATGCATATCCTGTTTGCATATCCTCTCACATTTGCATGACACCTGCCTCCACACACCACAGTCTAAATTGCTCTTGAATGCAGCCTCGATTTGAGGCCTCAAGTGCGAAATAATACTTTGCATACGGCGCTCGTTCTGCATCTGTATGTGTGTATCTGTGTGTGTATGCGTGTGTGTGTGGATTGCATCCTCGTCGGGCGCCTGGCGAATGCCTTAAATAGTCCTTTATTACAGTCAACTGCGAGTCAAGCGAAGTGCAGCAGCCACAGCCGCAGCGCCTGACGTGTTTCTGCATGTGCATGAAAGGGACACGCCCCCAACTCCAGGCGACTGCAGCTTGCACATGCAGTGCAACCGGTTGCATTATCCTTTAGAATTTGAATGCGCTTTGTGTTTTATTTTGCACTTGAGTGCCCAGGAGCTGGGGCAGACGCAACAGGATACGGATGCGCTGGCTGCACATGCTCGAAGGGAGCATCCAGGCAGTGGGGCGGCTGGGCGAGAGGCCTTTGTTCGGCTTTGAACATCACACGTCGCACCTTTTGCAGTTTTCACACTTGCGGGCGGTGGTTCAACAGGTGGCCTTTTGGCTGGCTGGGCGGTTCGCTCTCGAGTGATTAGGCAGCCAAGTGGCGCAGGATGAAAAGACATGCCTCCAAGTGTTTCAAATGCTTTAATAGGTTAACAATGCGGTAATAAATAGTAGAGTAGGAGGGATCCAGGAATGCATGTTAATAAATATGTAGGCTCAGTTAGGGATATAACGAATGCAGGAGATGGGGGATGGGGAATGGGTTGTAAGAAATGAAATTGTTGAATGAGTCGATGTGGTGGTGCAAGTCCGTGGGGTATGCAACAATCAACTCATCATCTTTTCCGCCAAGCTGCGTACAACGTTCTCATCGTAGTCCTCGATCTCATCCTCTGCATCATCTATGTCCACATCGTTGGGTCTCACTGGATAGCCCTGCTCGGGCGGCACGATTTTTACGCCATGATCCCCAAAGAGCAAGCAGTCAAAGTTGCTAAGAAAATACAATGTTAATAAAGTTAATTATATGAACTTTTGTTCTTTCTGGGGATGTCTTACCGTTCGAAGAGCTCAAAGCCCTGAAACTCGCCGGACATGTACATGCAGACATGCATGTTGCGGCCAACGAACCAGATATCATGGAACTGAATGCAGGCGCGCGCAAAGTTGAAGCGCGGTGGCCTGAAGCAAAAGGGCGGCGGATTCTGCCCGGAGACCTTGCGGCGGAACCAGATGTTATTGTTAACGCGCATGCGCAGCTCAAAGGAGAACTCATCCGGCCGATAGACGACCTCTGTGCAGCTGTTCATGCCAATCACCGAGAGAAAGCCTATCAAGAGATGAAAACAAAGGCTCAAGCATATTGGAAATGTAGAAGGACCCGCACCTACCTGCACAGCACTTGCAGAGGCCAGTGTCGCAGTTACAGGGTATACGACTAACCAGGTTGTTGAGCGTCAGATTTGTGATGCCCAACTGCCTCGACTCCTCCTCGTGGGCCAACTGATTGAGCCGGTGCGTCAATACGCCCAACTGTAAGGCCGCATCGTAGGCCAAATCCTCGGCAGGTGGCTGCAGCGGCACTGTGAGTGTATTGTGAATGATAACGCACGATTATGAGTGGATGAGTGTTTATGAATGAAACTGTGTATCGAATTTTTTACAGCTGATAATAAATAGAAATATATACAAGTGACAGACTGGCCAAACATTCTCTCAATAATTAATGAGACAGTCGATCCGGCACAGACCTTAACTATAGAAAGATAATAATATATAATGCAAAAATAATATATATTAATAATAAATTTACATAAGCGAAGCTCCAATACGGTGCATCATATATCATCTCTGATGAGCCCTTGTTCCAAATTGTGTAAACTTCTAAGAGTTATTTGCATCTATTGGGTTAGTGGCTCAAGTTCTCTGCCTCAGTAAACAAATCGACAAGCAACAACAAAATTATATTTTCCTAATATAAAAACATAAAAATTAAAATGTAAATTTTTTGTTGTTTTCTTTTTCTTTTTGCTTAATCATCTTGGAGAAGCTTCCGCATCTTAAACAGTTCCGCCTCACAGACGCTGACGTAGCTAGACACACAATACTCAGCGTCTAACAGTTTCAACTATTAACCTTGAATGCCAACTAAGCGAAGCCGAAGAGACTATTGCGACTATTTTTGATGTCAATGAGAGCTACCGCAGCCAATTGAAGCGTGGTCAAGATCATGGACAAGAGACGATGTCGAGAGAGACAACAGATGCGAGAGCAAGTCCGCAAAAAAAAAAAAAAAAAAAAAAAGAACTGGTAATGCTCTCCACAATTTGGCTTGTTTTGCTTCCCAATATTTACGAGATCTGTGGAGTACTGCGCTCCTAGAATGCGTGAAAAAGCATATGAAAATTATGAATTGAAGCTAGCTATCCGCTAATTAGCTGAAGCCAGCCGAAAATAAAACGACCTTCGAGTGCGTTGAGAACGTGTACGACCGATTAATGTTGCTCTGTGAATGTCGTCTATGTAGATATGCCTAGCATACACACTTTTTGTACGGTGTTTGCTATTTTTAACGACTCGTCTCTAACTGGGCTGTAAATGCAGTTACTGGTCAATTGACATTGGCTTAGACGTCACGTCTCACACTGTAACCTGCTGTGGCCCTTAGAGCCTCAGTTGACTGTAATATTGTATAATATTTAATTGGCACTGTGAGCTGTTTCATATGGTGCGCTCGCATTTCGAGCTCTGATCTTAGATTAAATTGAACGCGAGCTCAAATAATAGAATTGACGGTTGCTGATTTTGGTCAGGGTAGTTTTTAGATATCAAGGTTACAGATGTTGCCAAATAGACTATAATCATAATGGATATTTCCGAGATAAATTGGCTCAAGATCTATACTGCATTGCGATCATTATTCGATATTTGATTAAATAACTAATATTAATATGAATCTATACTTTGAGAAAATAGATAATGAATTTTGGAAAATTTTAATATTATTTTGACAGACAGACAGAAACTTGAAGAGCAACAGGCTTATTTTTCGTAACTTATTTATTTTAAAACGCATCAATAATAAATCGAAATCTGAGTTGCAATTTTAATAATTATTTAAGAAAAATCTTAACTAGTATTTCTTTAAAAACAATATATTAAATTCCTCATTTATTCTTAAGCTATATGATTTATATACATATTCTTAAATAATGTGTTGTTAATTGATAAAATAAAACACCATCACATCGAGAATTTTTTACATATTTTATTATACAATTAACAGAGTGCCTCATAGAAGTTATCACATAGGTACTGTAGCCAGGTACAAATGAATATTTAAGGTCTAACTTGACAATCCCGAATGGCCGATCACATTTCAACTCAAATAGCAGTCTTATTTACAACTATATTCATATACATATATTTACAAGATATTTACAAAAATTCGTTAGGATTCGATGCGCAATGCCCGTTTAGCTTCTATGTGAGCCACACGTGTACGAAGCGATAAAAGATGGGCATTGCAAACGGATTGATAAAGTTAACAACCAGATAATAGAAATACGACATAAAGTATGAGTTCTTTGTACTACCGGTATCCGATTTTGATACAGCCAACAGTGAGGCGACGCACAGCAGGTAGAAGAAGAGCCGCGAATGAGAACTGGCTGCGGGCATGCTGAAGCTTTACTCTCTTGAAGAGGAATTCTTGAAGGTTGTTGTGACGGCTGCTCTTGTATCGGTCGTTGTTATTCTCTTAGTTGTTGTTGTTGTGGTTGTTGTTTTTCTTGATTTCGCGCGCTTTATTTGTATATCGAGTCGTTTGTTCAGCTTTTAGGCATATATTCATATATGTATGTGCGTTTTATATGAAACTCCACTTTTTGCACGCAACTTTCGCTTTCACAATTACAAATTCACCAAGTCGCCATAAAGTCTCGCTGTGCGTGAGTCTTGAGGCACCGTTTAATTCACTTTTAGTTTCAGCTATAAATATACTTGGAGCCAGTGTCTAACTCCAGCTCCGAACGTGCTAATGGCTAAAATACAACTGGCCAAGAAAACGGTAGCGCATGCGCATGCTAAGTGGCAAACCAGCGCCAGCAACGGCAACAGCAACAACAGCCGCGCCGCCAAGCCACAGTCAAAGTCAGGGGCGGGTGCCGAGGGGGCAGTGGGGGCCGGTGCGCATAGGGGCCTCTGGAGGGGGCGAGTCGCCTCTATGGATTGACAGTTTAATGTATGTCTGAATTGTTTTTGTCTTTATATCGTTGGTATTTTTCTTGAGCGCGCGCGCGCTCTCTCAAAACCAGTATTTTTGTTGCTTTTGATTTTGGTTTTTGGATTCAGTTTTAAAGCTGAGCGCGCCTCGTTTAGGTATGAGTCTCCGGCCCGGTCTCGAGTTGGGTCTGCGTCTGGGTCTGGGTCTTGGTCTCTGCTATAATTTCTCTCACTCGCTCGGACTCTCACTTTTCACTTGCGTTGCTTTATAATATATATATATATATATTCTGTGTATTTTTAATTAACTTGTCACCTTAAATGGTTTGCCACCTTGCGGCACCTTTAGAGTGCCAGCCGACTCTTCAAGCAGCCATTCATCGACAATCGCTTCAATTGTGCTTTGTTTATATGGCCGAATACCGTTAAGAGTCTTCAGCGATTCACAGTTAAGCAATTTGTTTATTTACTATTGGAATTATATTTGTCGTTTCTATTTTTTTTTTCTAGTTTTTACTTTTTTTTTTTTTGCGTTAATCTCAACTGGTTCTACGACTCTATAAATTTACTAAACCTATGTGTATTGAAAGTTGTTTTAGCTGCTTGCAGGTGAAATTCAAGTAAGCCATGAACAAATGTAATTATGATTTTAGATGGATGATAATTGTTGTACCTTATGGAAATGGGAGCAATTTCTATGCCCGAGGTATAGCTGATTCCAACTCTGTTCTACATTCAGTCAAAAATGTGCGCAGTCATTGACTGGGTGTGTAAATATTGATTGGATTGCGAAACAGGTTTGCTGAATGAGTTGCTAAATAGGAAGCAATAATTAAGATTATTCTCTGTGAGAAGAAAAAGAAAATCTCAAATGCTTGTTTATATGTCAACAATCCCATTAATACTTTGAGATAAATGATTGTATGTTGAAAGGAATATATCCGTTAGTTAGATACCCAGTGCAGATATGTATATTTAAATACTATATGAATAGATGAATGAATGTAAAATATAAGAAGTATTAAGCTAGCTGATCATTCAAAATTTTATTCTTGGTGCAGCTAGATTAGTTCGATAATATCTGTATGATATATAAGAGTACAATTATTGATGTACATTAATTTTGAATTTAAGATACTTTGAGTATTAGTTGATCAAATTTGTATAAAATATTCTAAATCTCCGATCAATCTGAATATTATAATACTTATGTGCAGAATCGTGACCTTTAGGCATAGTTAAGTCCAATTCAGCGCGAAATAACAGTATACAACAGTTATTCATATGTGCACCTGGTAGCTAAGTGACATTCATTATGCAATATTTGATTCGTTATAACATGCCGCAGTTTTTTTTAGTTTCTGTTTTTATATTTTTTTTATATATTTTGCATTGGTTCGTCGATTTGATGACATTGACTTTGTGCTTGGTTTGCAAACGGAATTTCAAGTTTTTTATTTGCATTCGACTTTGGCTAGCGGAAATACATAAAAAAATGCGATAAGTTACTTCAAGTATTTTTGTTAATATCTAAATAAATTTTTTTCGTTTGATATGGCTTGAAATAGTTAGATTGGCCAACTGACCAACTCGCAGCTCGAACGGCGATTGTTTTGGTGGCGCCATCTGGTGGCCATTTAATAAGCTATTGTTTTTGTTGTGTCGATTGATTTGTGATGCCAAACTGCTGAACATTTCCCTACTTCCCTATGTTTCTCTCTTTGCCTATCTCGCACTGCATCAGCAGCTTCCATCATGACATTAGAAATTATTTTTGGCTGCTGTTGGTTGTTGCTCGCTGTTGTTGTTGTTGCGAAAACTTGCACGTAAATCATGTGAAATCAATTTCTCTTGCACAAGTTTCCACTTTTGGCAAATATGACGAAAAAACCAAAGCCCAGAGACCCGAGCGAAAAGTCGTGAGTAAACATTTGCTTAGACCGATCCTCGACAGGCTCTCAACATGGTTGCTGTTGTTGCTGCTGCTGTAGATGTTGCTGTTGTTGGTAGCATCTTGCGGTCTAATAATAGCATGTTAACTCATAACATGCTATCAATCACTCCAAAATTTGTATCTGCGGTGGGTTCGAACTCGTTGTGGGTAGCCGGCTGACCATAATTCGCATGTGAAAATTGGAAAATTGCCGAAGTTGTTGTTGCAGTTATGCTTGTTGTTGCTGTTATTGTTGTTGTTGCTTCGATGGCTGATGCTGGTCAGCTTGGATGGAGTTATCGTTGCATGCATGCTCCAAAAATAATCAGAATGTGTGTGTGTCTGTGTGTGAGATTTGTGTTCATGATTTATGGGCTTTTCATGGCGCCAGTTGTCTGAGTGGATAAAATTTTCTATCATTATTATGCATGTGAGGCAGATCAACTTAGAAAGTTTGGCAATTACTTAGGATAAGCTACGGAGTAGAGCTATATCTATAGAGTAAGATTTGTGTATAAAGCGGATGAATTTATTTGAGCCTGAAACTATATTACTTAGCTGATAATTAAATGTTGTTATTAGGTGATGTCATGCCTGTGAGCTATTAATATAGATATATAGCTTAATTAAGAGAAATCCGATAGCAGCTGTATGTGTGGAAAGCACTCTTTCATTCACATTTTCGTGAAGACTTTCGATGACCAATTAATTGTTAAAAGAGTTTGGATAATATATGGTAATTAACAGTCAAGAAACTGTTAAAACAGGCTCTTGATAAATCTTCTCATTAAGCTCTAAAGATTTATCCAAAGTAACAAGTTCTTAATGCCAAAATAAGTCTTACTAATAATAACATATTCTTTATTTAATCTCTGTATTCTTCTTTGCTCTTCTCATTAAAATTTAAAGTTAACAAAGTTCGCTCTTAATTTCCTAGGTGCTAGCTACAGAGTTCTTCCTTGTGTCCCTTCGTTCCTGTTTCCCCCCTTTTCTGTCGCCCACTCAGCTTTCAGTCAGACCGAAACAAAGCAAATCGAAAAAGTATTAATTCAAAGCACCCTTTTTTTGAGAGCGAGATAGAGAGAGAGTGAGAAGAGCTCTTTACTTTGGGGGAAATGCATTTGTTTTTATTCTGTTTTCATGCACTTGGCAGCGCGTTGTCTTTTCCTTTTTCCGTGCTTGAGCGTTTTCTTTTGCCTTTTCCCTTCTCCCTTTGCCCCTTTCATGTGCCTTTAAGTATGCAACGAGTAGACTATAGAAAATTTTTATACAATTTTGTTGTTCATTTGTTTTATCGTCGCTCGTAGCCTCAAATGAAATGCCAAAATGTGAAATGTAAAATGTGAAATGTAAAATGTGAAATGTGAAAATGTGAAATGTAAAGTACAAAATGAAAAGAAAACATAAATCTTTTTGTCTGCCAAACATTTTCAGACCCGGATGGCCGGCGTTAAGAGCTGGAAGGAGGCCGCGGCGGCTGATGCTGCTGCTGCTGCTGCTGCCAGCATTGTGAGTGGCTTTTTTCATGGTATTTTGCCACACACCTCACGTACGGCTCGCCCAGCCCTGCCCACTCCCAGCTGCAGGTGGCAATGCAAGATGCCCTGTGTTAGGGGAATCTCAGTGCATAGAGAATACTTTTGCTTTTCGTTTTTCGTGGAGCAGATTTTCCATATTTTTTGGCATTGCTTTGTTGTGTTAATTAAGCAAAAATGTTGTTATTACAAACATAAGAACCGAACAGGGCCTCTCCACTGGGATATATACTACAATAAATGAGTCGAGTTTCCTTTTATTCCATTTTGGCATTTTTTCGTGTGCGATTCCCTGGCTCTTATTTGAAATCAGATGTGAGTGGATGTAACGAGACAGAGCTATCAAATTATGAATTTAATTTCTCAATGATTTTCTGATATGGAATTTGTAAGATTTATTTACCCATGTAAGTATGAATTTCTGTTTTGTATTACTCTACATATGTATATATATATATAT